GCACTTTACATTTCTAAAATTGGCTATATGAAAATGTGCAGTCGGGGACACCAGTTGGATCCGCTTTTCAGTTTGGCATTGTGGCCTGTGTAGCTGTGGTGGGGACAGTTCCTGGTTTTGTCTTTGCTGCTCTCTTTGTCGATGCTTGGCACTGAAGTCATTCAAAGGAACTCCTGCCGGGGCCTGCTTTGGCCCTCGCTCTGCTCAGCTCCTGTCCTCCCTCCATGGCCTGAGTGGCTGCTGGCTGGGGGGAGGCTGCGCTCCCCCTCGGACTCCAAGGCCTCTGTGTCTCCCAACTCTGCAGGCACCCACATTCCAGCCTGACACACACAGAGGCCTTGTTGTGGCCAGATGACATCATGGTTAAGAATGTGACAAGAAGACAAGTGGCCTCTAAGCCATGTCACTGCAGTACACTCCAAGGGTACAAGAACAGAACTGGTCCAGAAGAAAAGGACAAATACTGCGCAGATTGAATGTGTTTTGCAATGGAACTCCCAAGGAGGGCTGGAAATCGGTGTTGATTCTGAGGCCGATTTCCCATCTTACAGGTTAAAAGACAGAGCAAGACTTGCTTTATTTTTCAAGACTCATCCTGTTCCGGGTCTCTAGTAGCAGGTGTTGTTGGGCACCTTTCAGAGATGGATGTCTTATTCAGACTCCTCAGCCTGGCTGCACATCTTCTGCCCTGTTGCCCGGTTGGTGAGAAGTCCCTCAGCAATCAACAAGATTCTGAGATACCTTCTGTCCCACCCAGGAGGCGGGAACATGCTGGCCACACCCGAGCTCCAGCCTCTGGCCACTCTCCTCCCAGGCAGCCAGACCACCTCTGAGCAGCCTCGGCCCTGCACATGGGCTGCTGGTTTTACCGACTGACTCTCTCTCTCTCTCTCTCTGAAAAGGAGCTTTCTCCCTGAGCACAGGAATGTGGAGGACAAATACGGTCCATCTTTCCCAGCTAATGAGGATTCCTAGAATGTGTGTACCTCACTGCCAAAGACCATGTTTGGGGAAGCCCCTCACAATTAAATGAATTCTAAGATTGTTCAGAAGACAGAGCTTTTACAGAGAGAAAGGAAATAAGGGCATAAAACAGGCCCATCAAATGGACGTGACCTTTTTCCCCAACTCTAAGAAAGTTACTTAGGAAGATTAAGCAACCTAAAGTTATAATTGGTTAAAAGGGACAAAAGTAACCTATCTTTTACAATGTCTGGTTGTCGGGCTGGTTGTTAAGACATCTGAAAACTCCTTTGAAGGTAAAGAAAGAAACGGCCATGGGGACCTAGATGCGCTTAGCCAAAAGCACGGCCAGCCACACAGGAGCATTTGCTCAGCCCTGTGGTCCAGAGGACGGTGGCTGCTGTCCCTCTTAGCATGCCCCCGCCCCCCCCCCCCGAATGAAAACAGCAGGAAACTCCGGCCCATGCAGTCTCTGTGGGCTGTTTTCCTCGGGGCATGGCAGAAGGCCGGGCTGCTGGGCATTAACCTCCTTTTGGGCTCTCCCGCCAGGAAACCGACAACTGGCCTTGGCACATTTGGGGGTCAGCAAGGAGTGTGTGACAGCTTGCACCTGCCCTCTGTCCGCTTGCAAGTCCAGCGTCCCCACCAGCGGGGCTCTGGTTAGGGCTCTGAGTCTTCATGATCTCAGCCCACTTCAAGTCCTCCAGGACGCTGAGTCCTGTGCCTCATCCAGAAACTGCACTGAATTCCACCCAGAGAAGCAAGATAAGGCTGAACCCCTCAGAGCCAGGACTGCCTCAAGTCAGGTTGCAGGAGCAGGCAGGAGGGTGTTTGGAAGGTGCCTGGTGCTGTTTCAAGGTGCACCGACTCGCGAGGATGGGACCCAGTGGGATCTGAATTCCAAACCACCTTGCCCACCTGTGCCACCTCAGGAAGTGAAACACCCCTTGTAGATGGATTACCACTCAACGCTATTTCCACACATAACACACTAGTTTGCTTTAGCAGTTTTTAATTAAAAATAACATCATTGTTTTTTCATTACTGTAGCAATGCACCTTTGAGAGAATAAAGATAAGCCAATTTAAAAAAATTTTTTTTTTCAAAGCCGCCATTATCTCACTGAGCAGAGATTGCTACTGTGAATGTTTTGAGGGCATTTATCACCAGACCTCCCTCTGCCCAGATAAACTCATCTCCTTTTCCACAAATTGTGACTCACACTGTCACATTCTTTTGTCAATCTCTTCCTTTAATAATACAACTCAAACCAATTTCCATGTCATAAACATTCTTCTAGAATATCATGTTAACAGTGATTTATTTTACTATTGTTTAATGACAGTTTAATTCTTTTTTTTTTCTTTTTCGCTTTACATGCTTAAGTCAGGTTTTCACTTTCAATGGAAAATTCGTTATTTTCAAATGCCTTTTTTGGCTTTGTTCCTTCAATGTATTTATTGGTAACTGAGGTGAGTTAGGCTCTGGGGATCCACCCTAATGAAACAGAGCCTGCAGGACGACCGTGCATCATGCAAACCTTCAAAAGGCTCTCCCAACACTGAGGGTGAAATTGTGGGTGCTAAGAAATTCCTTGGGGTAGGAGGAGAGCAGGCAGTAGGAGGGAGGAGGATGTTGGACCCAAGGCCTCGAGGAAGCAAGGACATCAAGGAGAGACATGAGCACAGGGACATCAACAGACAGGACCCCTGTGAGATGCGGTGACAAGGGGAGGCTGCAATCTTATTCCTGCTGCAGGGGGAGGCAGCTCACACCCCTGTGAGAGTGGCCTGCTGAGTCAAGGCCTGAAAGATACTTGGGCATTCCCGTGGGAGCTGGGGACGGTGGTCTACCAGATGGCAGTGTTGTGATCTTTGCAAAACCTTCAGCTAATACTGGAAAGAAAAAGACCACCTAAGATTCCACTATCTGAAGATAGCCTCTGTTACTATAGTAGTTCTGCCTTCTCTGTGCTGGATGCCTTGACCTCTGCAGAGGACTGAAACCTAGAAGACAATAGGCCAGGAGCTTGATGCACAGTAGCAGAGTTAATCTGTCTTTTCCTGCTTTAACTCTTTGGTGTTTCCTTTACATCACCACTTTTGTGCTTCGAGGCCATTAAAAAGGGCTACTTGGGCATAATCACCATGATACTTGACAGTAGATCTGATCATCAAGATGGCTACTGAGTAACCAGCAGGAAGGTGGTGTATTCAGTATGGAAACACTGCATGAGGGTAAATTCATATTCCAGGAGGGACAGAGTTGGAAGGTACAAGATTTCATCCTACTAATCAGCACGGAATGCAGTAGAACCTTATGAACTATTTACCTCTGGAAATTTCCATTTAACTTTTAATGACCACAGGGAAAAAAACTAAACTAAAAAAAAAAAAAAACTACAAAAAGGAGAACTACTGTGTATCTTTACATACCTTTCCAGAGCTTTTGTGTGCCTGTTTACACACAAATATAAGTTATTTGTTATTTTTCTAATAAAATGAGAGGTCAAATATTAGAGCATGCACTTTTTTGCTCACTAAATTACTAGTATTTTCCATTATTTTTAGATGTAAGAGTAGTTAATTTAGAAATTCCCATGTCACCAAGTGTAATAATTTAATTATTGCACAGTAATAACAAATACAGATATAAAAATTGACTTAGCAGGTCAGGATCCTTAGTGAATAGTTGTTTTTTTTTTTTCCTTTTTGTACAAAACGCAATGGCATGCACAGAATGCAGAGCGTGAACCCATCCTAATCATACTGTTCAAGGAATTATCAGAGTTAGCTTGCCTGCTATTTTGATTGAGAAAGCTCTTGTTTCTGAACCCTCCCTTTTCCCCTTTCCATCGTATCACCTCTCATCTTTCCAATACTTTCCAATACTCTCCTTCTAATCCTTCTGATTCACTATGGCTGCTCTCGAACCTTATAAAATTATTGAGTTATTTTTATTATAGAATATGCATCCTTTTGCTTGGCTTCTCTTGCCAAATTTTATAATTCTGAGATTTGGTTATGTTATTGCATGTAGCTAAAATCTGTTCATTCCTACCGCAGTATAGATTTTGTTGTGTCAGTGAATCATTTCACATATATTAATGATGATTTTTCTTAGCACAGATTTGAAGGAGTGGATGGTAGGCCAAGAGCCAAATTGGAATCAGTGGTGAATATTTCCAGTGACTCTCCAGTAACACAGGAATTCTCTCCACCAACCAGGCATCAAAGTGTCTGATTCTCACCTGTGGCCTACAGTGGGGAAGGAGTGGATCTTCTCATCTTTTCTGACATGAGAAATAACTAAAACATTTATTGTTTTGTAAGTCCTTTTAGAACCATACTTTGTTAAGAATTTGCACTAATGCATAAAACTGTTTTGTGCTTATTTTCTTTTGTCTCTAAATCTATAACCATTTCATCATTTCAAATTAAGACCTTATAATCTATAATGGGGAGGTCCACATATTATTCCCTAAGACTTCACTATGTGGAAGCAATATTTTGAGAATATTTTGTGCATCTCTTCTGTCAGAATGACCCTTAATCCACTATTATTATTGTTAGTATTATTCTCATACGCCATTTATCAACAAGGAAAATGATGCACCTGAGGGTCATACAGTAATTTGTCTGAGATTTGGAAAGATCTGGTGTTTTGGAACTCAACATTACAGCAGTGCAGGTCTAGTTCCACTGGCCACAATTCCAGAACACTGAGTCTCTTCACTTCTGAACAATGAGGACTCCTCTCCTTCAGAACAGGGGTGTGGTTGGTTTTTCCCACACTCTCATAGCCTCTTGGATGCTGTACTTGCCAGATAAGTGCAGCTTCATTTATTTTGCATTTCACTGATAAGATGCAATGAATGGGTGGAAACAAAAGTTAATCATGGATTTAGGAAGGTAGTGTTTCTCTTTCTTACAAAATTCACCCAGCCATCTGTTTATAGACAAATCTAATTAACCACTGGTTTTATTTCTGAAGTATTATACTATGAACTTCTATTGGTTCACAAAACAGGAACTGACCTTTTTCTAGATGTCAGTTTTTGAACAGGACAAGCTTCTTCACGCAGTCAGGGGGGACCATCAGTTCTGCGAGCAGTGTCTTGGATTTTGCCACTGCCCCAGCTGCAGTGCCGCAAGGCTGCCAGATCAAGTGTGGGAGTTCACACATTGTCCAGATGACTTCAGAATCACTTGCTGATAAGATCTTCCAGAATTACTCCATAACCAGTTAATTCCTCAACACATTTCTGGCTCTGGAAATTGATATCAGCAAGAAATAACAACAGAAAAGAATAATTACTATATTAGGTTTATTGAAAATTCCAGAAACAGGAAAAGATACAGGACCACCAACACAATTTGACTGCTAACCATGGGTTAAAACAGTGCATTCAGCCAAATCTTTCAACACAGTAGTCACCTCAATTGCTGTTTTTAGAAGCCAGCGCCTTTCCTGCTAAATCCAGTAGCTGTCCCATGATTAATGTGCTGGTGTCTTATTAACTGCTGTCTTACAGAAGCTGTCCAATTCACAGCCACCCTTTCTGCAGAGACCTTTTTGTAAAAACCTAGTTGAAATCATGCTGCTCTGACTGCGGGCTACTGCACCTACCCCCAAAACATCATAAAGAGCGAAGAATTACTGTTTCCAGTAATCCAGGCCATAAATCAACCTGCTATGAGGACAGAGGGAAAAAAATCACTAGCACTTCCTGCATTCATATTCAAAAGCCTGTCTGTGTGACAGCATATTCCGGAAAGCGTCAGCAGCTCAGCCTGTGCTTGTGTGTGTGTGTGTGTGTGTGTGTGTGTGTGGCAAGCAGGGGTGACAGTGAAGGGGAAGACAAAAGAAATTCAGCCCCAGCTAAATCATTCCAATGCCCTGATCTTACCGTGGCCGCCCTCTCCCTTAGAGTATTTTATGATTGTTAAAACTGCCACCTTATCTGTTTGCTGGCATCACCCACGGCTGAACTTATCTGGGCCCAGCTGTTTGAGAAAAACGCAACATGGCGTGACCTTGATTTTTTAGCACCTGACCTTAATATCTAATCAGTCGCATGTCTCAGTGAAGCCATCCAGACATGTCACATAGCCCCTCTGGCATCTAGTGATACAAAAGATGTGTACTTCATTCACCCTTTCGAGACATCTTCCAGCCACCATACCCAACAGCCATACCCTTCCAATCTGCACTCAGGGTCCTCTGAGGGTTAACGTGTGTTTTAAAATCCTGGATGCCCTTTGAGTTGAAAATAATTTAGACGCCTTTGGGTCAGTGATAAAAAAATTATCTGAGTTCATATTGAGACTCATGAAGAGAATCCTCAATTTGGTTATAAAAGAACATTAACTACTCATGGTAGTTATAGTGTTTCTAAAACACAAGCCTTTTCCCTCCAGCAAAATCAAGTTTTAAAGTCATCCAATACAAAATAGAGCACACCCACACACGGACACACACACACACACACACACGGACACACTAGCTCTAAATGTTAATTTTAAAAGGATTTTGTTTTAGAAAGGTCCAGAAGTTCAATGGCCCCAGATTGAAGTGAAGTCTTAAAAACCTAGGAATGAAATAAAGAAATGTCAGAGTTATTAAAGTGCCATTATATTAAAAGTGACAGAAAAGGAGCTGGATTTTTTTTTTCTTGCGCTGACTTTGGAATCAAATTTGCTTCATTGACAAAGCAATAGAGTTTCCTGCCAGTCGGCAGCTCAGCCTAGAACCTAGAAGCGGGGCTGTTTTCTCCTGGTTCTGCCCCATGCCGTCCCCAGGACCCTCCCATGGCCATGACGCTGTGGAGTGTCGAATCTCAGCCAGGGTAAGGGCGCCTGCTGGTCTTCTTATTAGTATCAATCTGCACAGCCTGCTGGAACCATCATTAGCTCTTGCGGGGTCATTCCTGAGAATGCCGTTTCCTCCCTAACGAGCCGTAATGTTCCTCTAATCTTAAGAAAGCCCCAACTAGGGAGAGAGCAGAGGCCTGAGAACCTTCCCCTGCTCTTGGCTGGGAAGCAGGGAGGGCCAAGACCACTCCCTGGGGCTGTGTGGCCCACGACAGTCCCAGTGGAGGGTAGCCTGAGCTCATCTTTGCCACCTGGTCCCTTTCTCTCACCTATGTGTCCCTCTGCAGTGCACACAGCTCTTCCGGATGCACAGCAGGGTGTCCTAGGTGTTTGGGGGGACTGTGGTGCGCTGCGGGGGATCAGGAGGACGTGGTCTCTCCCCGGGAGTCTGAACTTTGTCCTGGTGTGAAGACACCCTCACAGGGGAGCACAGGCCTGCAGTCCCCAGGGCAGAGCCTCCAGGAGCTCACCAGGAGCTGCTTCCCTGTGTGGGCCCAGGGGCCTCGGGGCTGCCCCTGCTGAGGGTTAGTCCAGGACTGAGCCCTTGCTATGGATGACTGTGAGAACCCTCAGGCAAGTGCCCTGGTCCCCAGCAGGGTCCCCCTGCGGAGCTCATGTTTCAGGCTCTACAGAAGAGGCCTTCAAAGCCACCTGAAAACTACCTGCAGAGCGGCTCTGTTTCATCTTTACTTTTAATTGACAAATACAGGTTGCGTGGATTATGGGGTACTGTGTGATGTTTGTTATTGTGTACAACGTGGACTAATTAAATCAAGCTAATAAGCATATCTGTCACCTTACTGTTCATCTCTTGTGGTAAGACACCTGAAATCTACTCTCCACCAATTTTGAATATGATGTGCGATTATTAAACATCATTTAGATGCTGGGCAATAGATCTCAGAAACTTTGAGTGCCTGAGCCCCGCCTCTGGAGGAGCAGGGCCTTAGGAGACTACACTGAGCAGTGACTTGGCTTCCGGGGCACACCCTAGTTTCTTAACATCGTCCTGCCCAGGCTGCTTCCAGTCACACCCTCGCACTGGTGACCCAGCTGTGCTTTCCTCCTCACCAAAGGCCAGGTCAGCTTTGCTGGCACATTTACACCAGTGTGATTGGAGGTATGTCTGTGAGCCTGCTGTCCTACCCGGGTCTCCCGGGGCCCTTTCCGGTTCTTTCTGAGCCAAGACACCCTGCGTAAGGAAGCCAGCCCTGTGCAACTGTGAGGACAGTTTGCACGTGGACCTTTAAGTCAGAGAAGAATTGCTAATGTGTTTGGAAGCTGGTCTTCAAAAATCCTTGGATGTACAACAAACACCCCCAAATTTGAGGAGCAGATGGCCCCTGCACTGGTGCCCTTCTCGGGTCAGGGTGGGCTCCAGGAGAGTGACAGTGCTGTCCCCACTCCCTGTGTGCACACAATGTCTCCCCTCTGGGCAGAGGTAAGACACCCAGCATACAGCCCAGCACCCTTTGGGCCCCCAGGCCACCCAACAGGCTCCAGGCCCATTCTTGGAGAGGAGTGCATTGTGGAATCAAGTGGGCATGTTACTAAGGAGGGAAGCCCTCAGAATAGATGCAAATGTCAAGTTCCAGAAGGAAAAACTGAAGACAATGGGAATGAACCAGAGCTGTCCTGAGGGGTGGGGGTGTAACCAGATCCACGGGACCACGGGCTTCACTTGCCAACCCGTGATGAGTGCAGCCAGGTATCAGCATCAAATCCCAGAGGATGTATTTGCCATGTCAACTGCTTCAGGGAGCCAACGTCCTGCTGTGACTTTGTATGAATCTCTGCTTTCTGGCTGGACACGGGCATCACATGCACTATAATTAGATTTTGGAAATGAAGAGTGTACAGGGAGATGGGAACAGTGTAGTTAAGGTTACTTATAAGATGAGCGACGGCAGCCTTCAGAAACTAGCCCGAGACTGACGGTCTTCAGACGGAGTCTCAGCAGAGTGGAAAGGGGGCGATGGAGAAATGACCTGGGATGATTAACAAGCAGGACTGAACGGGCACTCGAGGGAATCCACCGTATTTATGTCTCTAAGAAATCAAGGACCATAAGGAAGTCACTTGAAGGTGCTGCCCTGAGCCTCGGCACTCACAGGCCATCACCAGGGACATGCCCTGGCCTGACTTTAGCCAACAAAGGAGTCCAATCTGAGCTTTGAACTCAGTCTCCCCAGTGCCTGAGTCTGAATTATCTCCCCTCCTCCATGCTAGTCAGAAAAAGAAAATGCAAAGCATCACCATTAAGTGGTGGCCGCGATGGTCACAAACCCAAGAGTGCGGCCGACAACAGTCTTCACATCTTGCGGGGAGATATAAGAGATGATAGAGAGAGAAAATTTGAACAACAATGACAAAAAAGACCGAGTTCCATCACTGGCACTCACTGAGAACTCAGAAAACCAATCTCCAGCACATCAGAAGACAGGGTGTGGCAGAGAAGCTCGGCTGTGGAAGGTCCGGCGTGAGCACCACTGTGGCGGCCACTGGCAGGGTGTGCTGCTGTTTTACACAACAGGGGGCTTCGAAGCTGCTCTTCAGACTGTGGGGCTAAATCTCTTGAGTCTTGCCCCTGAACTTCTGTCAGAATGACATTTTTCTTCATTCAGAAAGCGTTTATCAAACACTTACTAGGAATAGTGCACGATTCTGAGGGATCATGGGGGAAGATCTGATGTGCGCCCTGGGTGGTCCTCAAAGCTGGCCAGATAAGGCACGGAGGGAGCAAAGCCACCAGCTTCCAAGAGAGGAATGTCCAAGTGTTGGGGGTGCAGCAAGGAGCTTTCTGGGCACTTGCAAGAGCTGGGGTGTCCCCCACTCACACCCCGGGGAGCAACCCTCGACTTCCAGAGCACAGCGTGGTGTGGAGGGCAGGCTGGGCTGGCGGGGGCCACAGTCACTAAGAATCTCCAGTGACAGCTGAGTTGTGGGGATTTCAGGGAGAAGCGCAGAGCTGCCCCTGGGGGCTTCATGGTCACTTTCTAGAGAAGCCCCTCGTATTGCTAAGGTGATCTGTGACTCAACACCATGCTCAAGTAAAAGAATCAGCTTTGCTGGCTGCAAAGAGTGGCTGTTTGTGCTACATTTCTTGAGCGCAAAATAAAAAGTGTGTACATGTGTGTGTTTTTCTGCTGTTTGATGGTTTGTTTGTTTTTGTTTGTTTGTTTTATGCCAGGGATTGAACCCAGGAGCGCTTATCTACTGAGCCACATCCCCAGCCTCCCACCTTTTTAAAATATTTTATTTGGAGACAGGGTCTCACTAAGTTGTTGAGGGCCTCACTAAGTTGCTAAGGCTGGCCTGGAACTTGTGATCCTCCTGCCTCAGCCTCCTGAGTTGCTGAGATTACAGGTGTGTGCCACCGTGCCCCACTTGTTTGTGT